ACCTCTCTCCTCCTCCATCCATGCCAGACCGCCCAGACGGTGACCCTGGCCCAACACCGCCCAATCTGCCACTGCCCTACCGGGACCTGGCTGCGGTGTTCGATAAGCGGCGCGCCACCACACTGCCGCCTCACCGCCCGTACAACATGGAAATCAAGCTGCAACCAGGAACCAGTCCACCCCGGGGGCGCCTTTTTTCTCTCTCTCCCGCCGAGTCCAGAGCCATGGAGGAATATATTGACCAGGCCCTCCAGCAGGGTTTCATCCAACCTTCCTCCTCCCCAGGTGCCGCAGGCTTCTTCTTTGTCAGGAAAAAGGAGGGTGATCTCCGCCCCTGTATCGATTACCGAGGTCTGAACAAAATCACAGTCAAAGACCGTCATCCTCTGCCGCTCCTCACATCTGCCCTGGACGCCATCTCCCAGGCGCGGATCTTCACCAAGCTGGACCTCCGAAGCGCCTACAATCTGGTCCGTATTAAAGATGGAGATGAGTGGAAGACCACTTTCATCACACCCACCGGTCACTGGGAGTACCAGGTCATGCCCTTCGGGCTGTGCAATAGCCCCGCCGTTTTTCAACGCCTCATAAACGATGTCCTCTGAGACATGTTGGGACGGTGGGTGTTTGCCTACCTGGATGACACCCTGATGTACTCCAAGTCCGAGGCCGAACACCTCCACCATGTTCGCGCTGTTCTAACCCGGCTCCTGGACAATAACCTGTTCTGTAAGCCCGAGAAGTGCTCCTTCCACCAGCGGTCCGTATCATTCCTGGGCTACGTGATTTCGGATAAAGGACTAACCATGGACCCTCAGAAAGTCCAGGCGGTGACAGACTGGCCCCTCCCGACAAGCCTGAAACAACTGCAGAGATTTCTGGGTTTCTGCAACTTTTACCGCCGTTTTATTAAGGACTTTAGCACCATTGTGGCACCTCTCACTTCTCTCACCCGACCAAGCCCTCCCGGCCAACCGTTCCGGCTGACTCCAGACGCCGTTCGGGCCTTCCAATACCTAGTCGCCCGTTTCACGTCGGCTCCTATCCTCCGCCATCCGGATCATGCAGTCCCCTTTGTGGTCGAGGTCAACGCCTCGGATGTTGGCGCCGGTGCCATCTTGTCCCAAGCCGGGACTGACGACAGGCTTCATCCCTGCGCCTACTTCTCCAGGAAGTTTTCCACCACCCAGCAGAAGTATGGCGTAGGGGATCATGAGCTGCTGGCCATAAAGTGGGCATTGGAGGAATGTAGGCAGTGGCTTCTGGGCACCACTCAGCCGTTCACCATCTGGACGGACCACGAGAACCTGACTCACATCAGATCAGCCAAGCAGCTCAATCCTCGCCAGGCCTGCTGGGCCCTCTTCTTCGAGCCCTATGAATTCCATCTCGCCTACCGCCCAGGGACAAAGAACCAGAAGGCGGATGCCCTTTCCTGCCAGATCACACATCCAACGCCCACGTCCGAGCCGGCACCTATCCTCCCTGAGCACCGTTTCTTGGCCCACCTGAGGTGGCCACTGGAGGAGGCTATCCAAAACGCCCTCCGAGACGATCCCGCGCCTCCAGAGACCCCCGCGGGTCGGCTCTACGTCCCCACGGCCTATCGCAGCGAGGCATTGTCCTGGGCCCTCTCATCACGCCTGTCTGGCAACGCGGGCTTCTCACGAACTCAGGTTCCTTAAACGAGCTCTCTGGTGGCCACGTATGGAGAGGGATGTAAAGGACTATACGAGCGCCTGTGACGTCTGTGTCCGCTCCAAGACATCCAACCAGGCCTCGGTTGGTACCCTCAGACCTCTTCCGGTACCCAGCCGCCCCTGGTCCCATGTGGGGTTGGACTTCGTCACAGGACTCCCACCAGTCAACGACCTTAATACCATCATGACGGTCACTAACCGGTTTTCTAAGGCTGTTCACTTCATCACCCTTCCGGGCCTCCCCTCAGCCCGACGCACAGCTGAGTTGTTCCTGGAGAATGTGGTGCGTCTCCATGGGTTTCCTGTCGACGTGGTCTCGGACCGTGGTCCCCAGTTCACGGCCCGGTTCTGGAGGGCTTTTGTCATCTGTTGGGAGCATCAGTCAGCCTATCTTCGGGCTATCACCCGCAGACCAATGGCCAAACGGAGCAGACAAACCAACAACTGGGTCGGTACCTCCGCTGCTTTGTCTCGGACCAACCCTCGCAGTGACCTAAGTACCTCCTCTGGGCTGAGTTATCCCACAATCTCCACACCTCCTCGGCCACTCTGATGTCCCCGTTCGAAGTCTGCTATGGCTACCAGCCCTCGGTCTTTGCCCACCAGGAACCCGAAGTTGCGGTGCCGGCCGCTCAATCCCTGGTGAGGCGCTGCAGGAACGCCTGGATCAAGGCGCGGGCCTCCATAACCCGAGCTAACGCCCGTTACTCTCACCAACACCTCCGCAGACACCGTCCTGGTCCCTCCTATGCTCCAGGGGATAAGGTCTGGGTGTTCACGGCAGACCTCCGTGTCTGTGCCGGGTCCAGGAAGCTCCCTCCCCGGTTCCTTGGGCCTTACCCCGTGCAAAGGATCATCAACCCGGTCACGTACCGGCTGCGGCTGCCTGCGAGTCTCCGCATCCATCCCACCTTCCATATCTCCCGGCTCAAGCCCTACGTGGAATCCTCCCTCCTTCCGCCTCCGGCTCCTCCGCCTGCCCGCTTCCTTGACGGTGAGCCCATCTACACCGTCCGGCGCATCCTGGACGCAGGGGACGGGGCTGGCAGTATCTGGTCGATTGGGCGGACTACGGCCCCAAGGAATGCTCCTGGGAGCCGGGCCGCTCCATCTTGGACCCTGCCCTTGTCTCTTACTTCTGGGACCGCCGAGGTCGCCCTGGGACTTCTGGAGCCGTCCCTGGACCGGGGGGTCCTGTCAGAACCCAAGCCCCCAGACCGGCCTCTCCCAGCTAACCGGCCTCCATCTTGGACCACATTTCCCAGCATGCTCCTCGCGGGAACTCCCGGCAATCTCCCAGTCACACCCAAGCCTATATATGGAAGACGCCGCACCGGCTCTTCACTCAGTCATCGTTTCATTGAAACCCATGATCAGAGTTTCTCTACCAAATAATCCAGACATCAAACATCCTTACCAAGCTCAACTCCCGTACCCAGTCGACCATCGTGACACTATCTATCTATCTATCTATCTATCTATCTATCTATCTATCTATCTATCTATCTATCTATCTATCTATCATCTATCAATCAATCAATCAATCAATCTATCTATCTATCTATCTATCCATCTATCCATCTATCCATCTATCTATCTATCATCTATCTATCTATCTATCTATCTATCAATCTATCATCTATCTATCTATCTATCTATCTATCTATCTATCATCTATCTACCTATCTATCATCTACCTACCTACCTACCTACCTACCTACCTACCTATCTATCTATCTATCTATCTATCTTGTTTACTTCCTAGTCTATGTGAAGTCCCTGTGCTGCAGTGTAGATGACAGATGGCTATGTACTGACTGATGCATCCGCTCAGAAACATTGTCTGCCGGCCAGCCAACCACGGGCCGTCAGTCTTCTCAGTGCACTAAGCTGATCTGTTGCCCTAGCAACCATTATTTTAGCTCCACCTTTGCCTGAACATACTGCAGAGTCACACTAGATATGTGAGACACCTCGCAGTGGGAATAAAAGCTGCAGACTGTACTCTTCAGGTTAAAGACACATCTGCTGTGGTTATCATCTTTCTTTTCTCAGTCTCATCAACTCATCTCCCTCCTTCTTCCTCGGCTCATCCTGTCACTCTCTTTCATGAAACAGATGTTTTGCTCAGCAGAAAAGGGAGAAGAGGAGGAGGAGGCGGTACAAAGAAGTGGCTTGGAAACTCATCTGGTAGTAATAAGGGCTTGGATGCTACTGTGACTCATGCCTGCACACGCCCACAGCACTATTACAGGCTCTATAACATGCATGACCATTATGTGTGCCTGGCCATGTGAGCCGAGATCCACAAAAAATCCTGCGGTGAACTGTTCAGACACACCCAGAGGAGAAAACACACCTTTTTGCAAAAAACAAAACAACTACATGACAAATAAGAGATCAAATCTCTGAAAATAGTATTAATCACTTCCTGTTAAAACTGCTGGGAGTTGTAGGATAATACTCATCTGGAAATGCTGTATTTTTCTATCCTTGAGTTAATGGTTCAAACAGAAAAAATAAAAATAAAAAAGGCAATACAGGAAAAAAGGTTCTGAAAATGAAGCCACAAATGCTAAATAAAAGGAAATAGATGGGTGTTAATGTTGCCCATTAGTGTGAAATGAAGCTCAAGTTCCTGGGCATGGTCTTTAAAAGCTCTGGTACAAAAATCATTAATATAAACATTTCTTTATTTAGAGTTAAGCTTTACTCCCTACTGAATCACAATAGGAACACTGAGTTCCTGGCTTCGTTGTGCTTTAGAGGTAACACATTTCTATCATTCTACAAAAGTGACACACTTCCCTCTTCTGCCTGAGATGTTTATTTGTAGCTGGGGCCATCACGCTTGGTCTTTTTCATGGTGTGAGGAAGAAACGCTTATTTGGGTGAAATTAACTCCAAACACCTGCAGGCATCACATTTCAGGTGTTTTCTTCAGAGTCAAGCCTTAGAGGCATGAGCAGATCCTTATCAGCCAGCAAAATGGCGGATTTGCGTTGCTGATCCCACAATGTATCACGTGAAATCCTGAGAGGTGCCGCGGCAGGCCCTGTGATCACATGCAGCTAGAACACACACCACCTGCTCACCTGTTTTATCATCCGCTCAGGTTTGCTGTACATAACCCTCACACAAAATCTGCGCCATATGCGCAAAAGTGTGTGTTTGCGTTATTACATGATAATGAAGGTTGTCCCTCAGACAGAGACAGCTGGCACAATGGGATGGGACGAGTGTGTGTGTGTGTGTGTTCGACGCATCATGAAGCAGCGGGGAGCGTGCGTAAAGACTGACCAGGCTCGTGCGTCCCGGGATTGTCGGACATCTCCAGCACCAGCAGCTCTCGCCTCTCGAAGCTCTCTCCGATGGTGTAGATGCGGGTGATGGTGGGACACTGCAGCCACACGGACAGCAGCGCTTTCCGCAGCTCCTCATAGCGGTGGTACTCGAAGGAGATCCCGGCGTCGGAACCGGCTGCGCTGGCGAGGACGATCAGCGCGGACCCGAACAACAAAACCCAAAAAGATTGTTTCATTTTGTGTCTTCGTGTGAGCTAAAGCCCTGTCTGCCTGCGGCTTAGTCCCAAGCCTGATTTCTGTGCTGCAGCTTCGCTCTGGGCTATAAATAATCTGGCTGTGCGAGTGTGATGCACTGATGTACCTGAGCAGAGCGCAAGATCCTCCAACTCCTGCGTAAAGCCAGACAACGCGCTCACATCCACAAGCAGGACTTACAAAATAAAAGCTTTTCGTTATTAGTTTAGCTAATTAAGTCAGGAGAAATGTATTGGTTGGTCTCATTTTTAAACGCAACTTGTTGGATAACCAACAAACACATGCATTTTTTATTTTTACCAGGTTTATGGATGTTGCTTTTCCACTGCGGAGTAAAGAAGAGGGTCAATTCTGGACATGTCAATAATTCCTGCAGTGAATAGTTTATAAAATATCCCCAAAACCAATTATGTCTGGACAAAAGAATCACTCAAACAAAAATGGGTGGAAACTGAAACCTATGTCATTTAAACAAATTATATAGAATATATTAGAATTTTCCCATGCCGCAAAGCTGCGCATGTTTAATATGGAAATCCTGCCTCACTTCCGGCTCAGTGTTCTTAGGTGAATTGACGAGACTCTCGAGTGTGAGTGTGTGTGTGTGTGTGTGTGTGTGTGTGTGTGTGTGTGTGTGTGTGTGTGTGTGTGTGTGTGTGTGTGTGTGTGTGTGTGTGTGTGTGTGAGTGCCTGCGTGCGCTTGAGCAGGATGTTGCTGTAGGGGTGTGTCATGAGTGCAGGCTGTAAATATTGAGGTTTTTTTATGCTTAATCTTTGAGTATTTTCATCTTTTAAGCATTTCTGTTGTTGTCTTGTATAGCCTACTCTCCCGTTAACTCCAATAAGAAATGTAAATGCTGCTTTGACACCAAGGTTTCCCCACTGAGGAACAATAAAGGGATTTTCTATTCTAGTCCACTGTCACATTTGTTCCAAAATACCCAGATTTATAGAAAAACTGCAGTTTTCTCAGTAATTTTGAACCTATACATAAATCCACAAATGCATCTTTTCAAATATTTTTATTTTTTATTACAAATAGAGAAACAAAAGTTTATTGTGTTGTTAAAATTAAACAGCATTTAATCATTATAATAACCTTAAAGAATATACAGTCAAACCTGGAAAAGACATAAGCTAGGTCCCATTTCATTCAAACATCATGTATTTGCATAAAGTCACTTCTAAGTTTAGGCAGTTTCCATAGATCTATAGTTTCAATGGATGGAACTGCAACATTTCAGATGGTCATTGTGACTCAGATCAACTCAAGAGGAAGTGCTAAAGTGCTGAAACATTCAGAGGTTAACAAGCGCTTTTCACAAAAGTCACATCTTTCTTTTCCCCCCTGCAGATGACATGCAACTCATGAAAAGAGGATGCTGGTTTTAATCCAGAAGGAAGCTGCTGCCAAACACCGGACATATTTATTTATTTATTAAGGCACACTGAAGTCAACTTTCAGCTCGACTCAGAATAAGGCCTGGATCTGCATCTTTACGGTCAGAGTTCTGTTCCTCTCGGCTGAAGACCCGGTGTGGGTAGAGGCTCTGCTGTTTACTGCTCCTTCTTCTCTCCTTCCTTCTGCATGTGCTTGTTGTACTGACTGTCAGTGCTCAGAACTTTATCCCACCAGGTGAAGGTGGAGGCATAGTTCCCAACAAAGTTCATGTGGTGGAAATCGTGAAAGCGGGCTCCGGCGTAGAACGGGATCAAGTGGAGCGGGTTAAGAGGGATGTCGTAACCACTGACGGGGACAATAAATGAGATGAAGAGTCACATTCTCAGACTAAATAGGGACCGATAAAAAATGAAATTAAACATGAATTACAACACTTCTTCTAAAGCACAAATATGTCAGATGGGAGGAAATGGTCTAGTGAGGATGATGCTGCAAAAACTGATGTTTACTTGTAATTTGTTGTGAAAAATGACAAAATATTTAAATAAACATGCTTTTAACTTTGCCCTGTGTACAGAGTCTGACAACAAATGAACATCCTGTATTGGTAGTTATAAAGGTTTGTTTTAGCCCTTTAAATACACAATCTCTCAATGTGGTCTTTTCACAACTTTGAAAGTGACAAAAACTTTTCTATAAGGTTGAGAATTATTGCTGTTAGACCTATTTACCTGTTGCATACTGTTGTAAGTATGATTTAGTTTGGGAAATAAATATGTAAATATAGTCTGACCACGAGCCACTGAAACAACACAGTTGTGGTTGTCGTTTAAACCGTCTCTGCATGCAATTGAGCAGTGATAGGACAAATCAGAGCAACAAACAACGTGACAGATTAGTCAACGGGGGAGTCCGTCATGCAGCGTGGAAAAAGAAAATACAATATATGCTTTTTCTACATAAATGACTTAAGCACCTCTGCTCATGTCTCAAAGAAAAGCCCAAGTCTAAATCATCTAAAGTTGATGTCAAAGCCGTTTTAATCGCCTTTCCTGAGCCGATGCCATCTTTGTAGTTTTTCTTTGTTGCAGCTCTAGCGTTAAGCCCACTCATCAGTCTCTTACAACTTGGGTTGGGAATCGAAAACTGGTTGGTTACCAATGTTTCAATGCCTAGGAATTAGGGATGGACAATATATCGGCATCAATATCGGAATCGGACGATTTTAGTAATTTTTAACATATCGGTATCGGTTCGATAAATAAAACCGGGCCGATATTTTTTCCATATTGTTTCCATTTGTTTTCAGAGGGTGAGGGGGTGATGTGCAATTGTTTATTCATATGAACAGTGAATGAAATAATCTCAGAACCATAAATGTGTGTGTTGTGTGTACATTATTCAGCTTTAATAATTTTCATTCTATACAAAATCTGCTGATTTTAGAAGCATTAATGTCAGTTTATCGGTATCGGCAAATATCGGTTATCGGCCATAACAGTGATCTTTATATCGGATATCGGCACAAAAATTTCATATCGGTGCATCACTACTAGGAATCATTCACCACTTTTGCAAACGATTCCCCTTATCGATTTTAGTCAGCTCAAATGACGTCACGGCACATGTTGCGTAGCTTACGATAGCAGGTAACATGGCCTCTAAGCGGCACAAACACTTGAAAGTTTGGCTATAATTTACAAGATAGCATGACAAGAGGGTAACTTGCAATAATTGCAAAGTAGTGGAAGCATTACGAACATACTAAAGCCTTTGGGCACAAAATACGCGATAACTTAAAGTTATTGATGTTTTGACCCACTCTGGACTAGTGAATTTCAACGCAGCAGCAGCAGCAGTGATGTTCGCACGTCCTCTCCTGTTAACACTGCAGGTAACTAATCAACTACCACTGCCTATCATGTTAGCATCATTTACCTTATATACACACCCAGGGGCGGCGTTAGGCCCGGCTACTTAGGCTGAAGCCCCGGATCTTTCATGATAAGCCCCGGATCTAAATCGCGGAAGTAACATGCAGTACCAAAGTCCAACAGAGAGGGCGCAGCTGGCAGTAGTTTGTATACAGCCTGCCTGAGCCTCCACCACTGAAGAAGAAGCCCTTCAGCAGCCGGCTTCTTCTGCAGTCTCTGTCTGAAATGCATGTGTGAAGATGGACATAAGGACGTTTTTTAGACAAAAGTACGACGACAGAACCCCAGCTTTGATGATACTGGTGTTGACTCAGGTTTGTGAGTCTTATTTGAAAATATTTGTTGTGCTGCTGGTTTGCCTAAAGTTAGCTCACTATCAGGTAAAGTTGATGGAGAAAGAAAGGGAATATTTACTATAATCTCACACTAAACACTAACAGGAACAATACTCTGCCCTGAATATGCTGAATATGTAGCTTCAGATTAAAAATTATGTGGTACAAGATATATATATATGATATTGACTAGTGCGCGTGCGTGTGTACGTGCTCGCGTGTGTGCGTGTGTTAAGCCCCGGATCTTCTTCAGTCCTAAATCCGCCCCTGTACACAACTCCACACGAGTAGACTCCAGTGACAAAGGTCTGACCTGTGGAGAGGTTTGTCCTACTCTACAAAAGCTACAACAACAAGAAGACGACTCTGCCTTCACAAGGCGCATAAAGGAGAACATTTGGAAAGATAATTCCAACTAGGGCTGCAGCTGTCGAATACTTTTGTAATCGAGTACACTCTATTGAATCTTTTATCAAGTAATCGAGTACTCTAATTACCCTTTTGTGTTTGTAAACCATTATATCAAATAGCATGTTATAAAATATGAAAGACCTCTTAAAATGAGCACGCAATTGCCAGTTATTCTTCAAGTTTTATTCAAAATTAGTTTTCAAAACTTCAGCACTTCAACTTTACTTCACAGTAAACACATGCCTGTGCAAAAAGTAAGTATATCGGCAGAGCCGATTTTCCCCTCGTGCAAGAATCTACTAGCCCGGCAAGCCAGACAAAAACTTGGAGGATAACTGTTGAAGTAGCGCTGCGAGCGGCTGCGGTCCATACAGCACCAGAACCGCTCACGGCACATGCGCAAACATGGCTCATCAACTATTTCCCTATTAACACACGTCCGTTTTAATTTCTGCACTTTTTTTTTCTCACACAATAACAAGGATTGTTGAGAAAGCATGTTTGCCGTGGTTATGTCAAATTATGCTGATCACTAAACACAGGGTATATACAGCAATCCTTAAGTAAAATTTACTACTTTTTAATACTTATTTTTAGTACCTTCAGAATTTTTTTAAAACCATCACAACACTAAATTGCAAGTGTTAATCAGCGACCTATTTACACATATTTTAACATATATAACATACAAAAAGAATAGACTTAGAGACTCACTGATGTTGACAACGTATTGCACATATTTATTTTACTTAGAGAATAAGCCAGGCACTTCTGTTAAGCGGTTCAGTTGACCACGAGGCCTGAAATGATGCAGAACGACCACTGAATATGACGTCATCATTATGTGACCGGATATGCTAAAGGGCTGCTCAATTATGGCAAAAACAATAATCACGATTATTGTGACTGAAATTGAGATCTCGATTATTTAAGACGATTTTTCAATTTATGTAGATTTTTATTTTTTTTTAATTCAGTCAAAACTGCTCAGGGCACAATCAGGACAAAAATAAGAAACAAGATGATCACTAAAATAACTCCTGATTACCAGTATAAAAAGACCAATATACTTATAGCTCATAGTCTATGACCCAAGGGCTTTAGTCATTGGTTTAACTCATTTAAGTCTAACCAGTACAGACCCAAATACCAATATCTTGCAAATACTGACAGCAAGAATTATACAGTGGCATTTATAACAAATAAATGCAGATAAATTGATGTTCACAAAATGTTGCATAACATTTATTGAGTCGCGTCAAGGTGCTGTAGGAGAGTGCACTAGCACCATGTCCTCAAGAGAGATTAGTTATTAGTTATCAGCGTGAGGAACTTATTTCTACCTTATTTATAAACTATTTATTTACAAGTCCATCAGTTAATGTAATAATTGTCCCAACCACAGCTGCACCCCCACCCCCCAAACTGGTCTCAGCAATCGGGGCAAGCTGCACGTGTGTTTAGCGCGCCGCACGCGCACATTTAGCCATTTTTAGTGGCTCAGGAGCCCGCAGGTGCGGTGTGTGTGTCACTCTCTCTGGTTAATCCAACAGGGAGCCGGTGTTGTGCCATAAATCGACTCGCTGCCAAAAAATGATTAGCCACTAAAGAAAGGAAGGGGAAAAAAATCAAATCGCTGGAGAATTGTTTATTTACATTTATACAACGTTTACATTCAATACAGGGCGCCATTTTACATTGTTTATTAATTTTTTAGTATCAAGGCTGTAACATAAAGAAAGCCAGTTCTTACCACAAACCATCTTTCAATCGCAAATATTGCAAAAAAGGATTAAAATATCCTCATTGTGAACGTTTAAGACAAATAGCAACACTTAAAACAACTTCCGAACTGGAAAAAAACTAAGCTAATCATTTTTTGGCAGCGAGTCGATTTATGGCACAACACCGGCTCCGGGAGCCGTTTCTTTAGCGACTGACACATCACTATATCATTCCCTTTCCTAATGTCCTGAAGAACGGTCCGGAGCGCAGGCGGAGTGTTCAGCTAACCTGCAGGAAATGTCTACGACAGTTATCCAGAAAGTAGCTAAGGGTTACCAGAGATGTTTCTGAGGTGTTCGCCAGGTACTTATAAGATTTAAAAAGTCAAGAAGTGGGTCTGAGAAGCTGTTGGAAATAGCGTCAAAGTCGCTAAGTTGGCTACACTGTGGGAGGAGCGCTTCATTTGTAACTCAGGGCAGCGCAAGTGGGAGGAGCAAATAATCGGCTTGTTTTGTTTTTATAATCGTTCAAAACATTTCATTCGGAATATATTTCTATGTCGATTTTCAGAATACGACACCTGATAGTCTGAAAAAAATAATACCTAATTTGGAAAAAATAATACCTCTGGGACCAAATTTAACACTTTTAATGGCCTTAAATTTGACTATTTTTATTTATCACTTTTTAATACTTTTTAAAAACCCAACGGACACCCTGAAACATTCATTTACTTCATTTCATTTTCCTCTCATAAATACCCACATCCTCCTGCAGCAATCCCGAGGGACAACAGACGTCAATAACAACACAATAAAAAGTCTGACGGGTTGTGTAAAAACTGCTATTTTTAGTACATTTTTAGGTCCGACGTGTTGCTAGCAGACACAGTGTGAGCTGAAACTGAGTGCTACAAATGAAAAAGTCGCATAGTGTCTGCAGAATATATAATGGACCTCCGAGTCCGCTTGCAGAAGAGACATTTACATGTGGATGTTACCTGGTCAGGTGCTGCAGAATGGAGGATGTGGTGTTGTGGTAGGCTAAATCCATTTTACAGTATTTATACTGGACTACGTTTCCGCCTTACGACATGAAAAATGGTCCCACACCTTTGACATTTTCTGTCTTTTTCGCACTCCACCGGGGTTCATGTTGTCCGCCATGGCTTAAGAGAAAGTTAAGTTACATTCGCTACTCGCGTGTGCATTCAGTTCAGTGTGTATGTGCATCACTTATTTTGGTCCGGGTGAAACATGACCCCGGGCGATTGCAAAGCCATGAATTAATTAAACATGAATTAAAGAAGCCTCGAGGCAGAGAATTTGACTCGAGGATTTTTTGTACTGGAATTATTCGAGGTACTCGAGGAATCGTTTCAGCCCAAATTCCAACCGATACAGGTACAACTGATTATTTATCATAAAGAAACTGACAATTATATGGCAGGAGGCGTGTGCAGCTAGTTTGTTGTCACCTGTTTAACTACTCTCGAACTGATAAGGAATTGGATCGATGGACAGAATCGACCATGCCATTGACATTGATAAAAACTTATCAATTCCCACTCCTAGTTACAACCACACTCTGGCACGAAGGCTTCGCTCGGAGAACCTACTGGTGTTCAGAACAAGCCTAAAGACGAGAGAAAACAGAGCATCCTCCATGGCAGGTCTGAAGCTCTGAAATGAGCTTCTATTGTACATAAGGGCTTCCACTCCCTGACGGTTTTTAAAACTAGGCTGAAGGCCTGCTTTAACTATTTGGTGTTCACTCTTGGTTGTTTTGTTTGTGACTGTGAAGCTCCTTGGTGTCATTTTATGCCTGTAAGGCGCTACATAAAAAAAGACTGAGTTGAGCTGAGACAAACGTATAGCACAGTGATGGGCAAGAGACACATGGTAGATCTGCTGAGGCTACAATGGAGCTTGGCCAGACCAACCTGCAGAGCAAAATCTACGTAGCTGCTACGGTTGATCTAGATTTCTAGGCTAGCATCAAATTCACATAGAAAAAAGATCACAAAGCACTACAAAAAACAATATCAGAATATAACACAGGATATGTAAAAATACACTATTTAAATAGTTGTTTTCAAACATAAAGGCTATTATGGAGTCTGCAGAAGATACATGATCTTTTGTAAATCTGTCGCCCCCCGGTGGTCAACCCAACCAACTACAGACAATGTGAACTCTAAGAAACATCCAGTTGTACAACTGAACCGATCTGTTTCTGATTAAACAGAAAGTTGTTTGACCGTGTCTGATGAAACTATGATTTTATCCCACCTGTGAACATCAATGGTCTCCAGCAGACGGAAAGCCACCCAGGCCCAAAGGAAGAAGACGTGGTTACAGAACATCATTATGCCAATGAAAAATCCAGCTCCGAGGATGATGGTCTCAGCAGGATGAGCGTACTCTGCCTGCATGCCGAAGGGAGACTGGGGAAAAGCAGGGGTAACACGGCGTGTTTAATTAATAACTCTTCAGTAAAGACAGTTTGTTGACTTTCATCGCTGGTGAGTTCTACTCACAGTGAACTCGTGGTGGACTTTGTGGATATATTTATAGATCCGTCTGTGGTGCAGCAGGCGATGAAGGAAGTAATGCCACGTGTCCTCGACGACGGCACAGCCAAAGCACCGAGCCAGGAGAGAAGTCCTGGATGAGAGGAGATTCAAAATAGAGATTTTATAAATGGTTCAAAAGTAATAATCACCCTGTTTTACAATGGCGGTAAGAAGTGCACGTTAAGGATTTTAGAAGAAGGTAATGTCATGTAGGTGTGATTTGTTCCTTGTTATTTTGTCCGTGCACTGACCAGCGTGGCATTGAGTCCCAGTCGTAGGGGATGCTGAAGAACTCAGTGAAGTAGTACGTCCCACAAATTAGAGGAAACTGGATGAAAAAATGGTTGAACAGCAGCATTTTGAAGCATCTCCATTGTTTCTCCCACGTCTCTGGCTTATCCTGCTCAAACACACATCAGTCATCACAAACATTCATTTAGCTAAAGTAAAAAAATAAAAACAAATAGAAAAACACACACCTACCTGTTGGATTTTGTATTTTTGCATAAAGGGTAAAAACTGAAAGATGAAGCCGGGCAAACAGAACAGAAAATAGATTAACTCATGGACAATGAGCGACCCCCATGTAGCAATCTGGAACTTGGTGTAGTTGTCCAGCATGTAGCTCCAGGCGTGTTTCAGAGAGGGCTGAAGGGGGTTTCCTGGAAGCACAGCGTCCACATACTCCACTGCCAGATAGGCAGAGCTTAATATGTCTGCTGTGCCGTTCACCGCCATGATGCACGCTGCAAGGTGACTGCAGAGGGCTGCAAGATCAAGCATCTTTAAATATACAAAACTTACACAATGCATGTTCTTATAAGTTATTGAATGTATATGTTCTTATAAGTTAGTAAAAAACAAATCTGTTTTGTGAGAATAAGCAAATTATCAAAAGGGCAATATTCATTATCATATGCATGACACATGGGGAGGGGGGTGGGTATACAGAAATGTTTGCTGAAACTGTAAATAGTTTTTTTCCTATTAGTACGAAGATTATGAATAAATTTCGTTTAAGTCTGAATAATCTCCGAAATCTTGAATAGGGTCATTACGTACCACATCTGGGTGGGTGAATAGTTTTCTCTAGAAACGCATTGGAGCATCATCACAACGTCTGGGTTTGGTGTTACGCATTCAAAGAACCCGAATATGCCCATGACAAGTCTGAGTTCAAACACGATAGATTGTGGAGAGAAAATAAAACGCTTAAATAGCGCGACACTTCCTGGCTGCAGACCTCCACCGTCAGGCTGCTTCCGGTGGAGCCTCCACCGTCAGGACTGTCAGGACGGAAAATGCACGGGATAATTACAAAATAAAACGGCAAACATACTTACGCTTGTAACTGATAGGTTTCAATATAAAATATTCCGTAAAATCTATCGATTATTTCTCTATAGTTCATATGTAGTTGTCATTTTTATTGTTTATTGTTGTATTATTATTATTATAATTATAATAATAATTATTATTATTATTATTATTTAACATACTTACGGTTGTAATTTTTCAAAATGAATTAACAAATGGCCGCGATAAGTTTCAACATTAAACGCTAACGTACGCCAACATACTTCCGGTCGTCATATTTCTAAATAAAGTCCCAAATGCTGTACAGTTGAATCGCTCTCCTCAGAAACGCATTCATTTTTTAATATTATGTCTTAGATTATGACAGAATATATCATAATGACCACGTTGTGCAACAGTAAAGGAAAGCACACACCAAACATGACAAACAAAACTAAGGTTTACTAAATGACAACTATATATGAACTATAGAGAAATAATTGATAGATTTTACGTAATACAGTAATACTGACAGTGGAGCCTCCACCGGAAGCAGCCTGACAGTGGAGGTCTGCAGCCAGCTGCTCTAGACGCAATTCTTCCCTTGGAGGTTTATCTATCTACAAAAACAAGGAACGTTTGTTCTGTAGCTTCAGGTGCGGATAGATATTCCCAGGAGGCACTCACCCTTCCGTTGTCTGATCCGTTCCACTGAACGCTAGGCCGTGGACTGAGTCAAGTTCAGTAATATTGACGAATTCCATTGGATGAGAAGAGAGGTGAGTTACGTCAGGGAGCAGAGAGGCTTCGCTGATTGGTTGGCTGAATGGAGTGATAATAGTGAGACAGGAGGGCTCTACAGTGTTAGCCAATTAGAGGCTAGCTTGGTTTTCCTCAGCGTAACTGGCTGTATGAGGGAAGACATGGGGTGGTGGGGGTCTGTCCGGAGAACTTCAGTCATGGGTGTTCCTTAAGTTTTTTTTAAAAGAACCTTTATTGAACCTTTTCAAAACGAACAAAAGTGACTACATTTCAAAATTTGTTAGCAGAATGTCCGAAGTCCGTGTTCATCTCAACTTGCATTTTGTAGATACAATTCAACTTGGTATAGCAAGAAGACAATTTAAAAAATAAAATAAAAATAAAAAAATATGTAGAACATGAAAGGATACAAGTAAGACAGCATGAATAAACAAATTATGTGTATATAAATAAAGTTTTACAAGGGGGAAGTTAAAGAGCAAACAAGGTCTATTGTGTATACCATCCAAAAAAGCGGCTAGAGATTAGTGTTCATAATGAAATAATAAAGCTTTATAGCACTGGGGGTGGACATTTTACCTAAGGATCTCGACAGCAGTTTAATTTCATTTTTGAGATTATTCCACGTAGGTGGATTTTTGAGATATCGGCATATGTGTATGAAAAATTTTGTTAAGATTATGAGATTATTAATTAGAAATTCATCATTTTTATCTTTTAGTATAATGCCAAATAAGATATCTTCAACTGTGAAATTGTTTATATAAATTTGATTGGAGTTCAGCCAATCCTGGAGTGAATTCCACATCATTAAAATTTTATCACATTCATAGAAAAGATGTTTGGTCGATTCATCGTTTTGTTTGCATAAGTAACATTTTTCCACATTGAACTTAAATCTAGTTTGTATAAAATGGTTAGATGGGTAAATATCATTCAAGGTTTTAAAATGGACTTCTTTATACTTTGGGGGTAAAGAGAATTTTAGATAGTTGGTTCTCAAAATTTTAATTTCTTCTTTTGAAAAGTTTTGTAGTAACGAGAATCAGAGTATTGGGTTTGGATAAAAGGTTTTGTCTAATATTTTCTCAGGAAAATATTATTGCATTTTTTATTGAAAATTTCTATCCCATCAACTGGTAATATTTTGAGTCTAGGGTTAAATATATAACCGATAGAAGCTTTAATGAACCAGAGCACTTGGGATATTTTTAATCACCTTATTATATTCATTTTCAGAAATGTCAACATCATATTTGAGATTGAAGTTTTTAAGTGAAAGAATATTTCCATTTTCGTCTAAAATATGTGTCACTGACCAAATTCCTCTGTCCATCCAACTTTTTACAAATATGGTTTTGGTTCTATCCAAAATAGTTCTAATATTCCATATCGGAACATCATGTGGGCTGAAGTTATGTTTGAAAACCATTTTCCCAAAAAAGAGGACTTGTCTGTGGAATTCAGAAAGTTTGAGAGGCAACTTCGGGATTTCAAAATCACATCTTAATAGGAATTCCATTCCTCCAACTTTTTCAAATATAAATTTTGGAATTGTATGCCAAATTTCCTCTCTATTTATTAAGAAGGATTTAAGCCATTTAATTTTTAATACTCCATTCAAAATTTCAAAATCTATTGCTTTTATACCACCATCTTCATAATTCTTAATTAAATCACTTTTTCGAATGTAGTGATTTTTGTTCTTCCATATAAAATCAAGATTCATTTTATTTATTTTTGTAATAATTTTAGGAGATATGGCCAATGATTGAGCAGGGTATATCAGTCTAGAAATGGATTCCATCTTTGTTAGAAGAGTTCTTCCAAATACTGTCAGATCTCTTTGAAGCCAACTATTTAAAATTTTCTTGTTTTTTTCTACTGTGTTCAGAAAGTTCTTCTGGTTTCTATCACTTGGAACATTTGTAATATAAATTCCTAGATAGCAGACTTCTTTTTTAACAGGGATGTTAAACAAGGAGGTCTCCGGGCCTTTTATGGCAAGCCTAATGAGCATTTATTCTGATATCAGGATTTCAGCCAGAATTGTCATGAACATGTAAGCCATTTCTGTCCACTAGTTAACTAGTTAGCCATGTTTGTGTCAACTAGTTAAATATCGAGGGTGAAACTGTGCCCACTAGTTAACTAGTGACAGCAGAAATGCGCACTAGTTAACTAGTGAACACATTTAGGCTTCAGTAGTTAACTAGTTGACACAAAAACTGCTCACTAGTTAACTAGTAAAAGCAGAAATGCATACCAGTCAGCTACTTGAAGGTATTTGTCTCACTAGTTAACTAGTGAAGGTCAAAATGTGCACACTACTTAACTTGTGGTAGACATAAATGCGCACTAGTTAACTAGTGAACACATTTTGGCTTCACTAGTTAACTAGTTGGCACATAAATGGCTCAGTAGTTAACTAGTAAAGACCAAAATGCATACCAGTCAGCTAGTTGAAGGTTTTTGTGTCTCACTAGTTAACTAGTGATGGCCAAAATGTGCACACCAGTTAACTAGTGACAGAAGAAATGCCCACTAGTTGACAAGTGAACACATTTTGGCTTCACTAGTTAACTAGTTGACACATAAATGGCTTACTAGTTAACTAGTAAAGGCTAAAGTGCATACCAGTCAGCTAGTTGAAGGTTTTTGTGTCTCACTAGTTAACTATTGATGGCCAAAATGTGCACACTAGTTAACTAGTGAAGGCATAACTCCTAACTAGTTAACTAGTTGGAGTAGGTCAGTGCCACTAGTTAACTAGTGAACCATTAATGGCTCACTAGCTAGCTAGTTGATGGCAGCAGGCTCACTAGTTACCTAGTGTATGCATCCATTGTCCAAACTAGTTAACTAGTGAGGACATAAATGTATACTAGTTAACTAGTTCAAGTCTACATTCACACTAGTTAGCTAGTTGCGCAGAATTCTAATTAGGAGGCGGAGAATTTCTCAAATTAAGACTCTCTATTGGCTCCCTGTGTCAAAATAAAATATGACAACCAATCACAGTGCGGAATTTCGCAAAATCCCACCCCAAACATTTGCATGCGGCACACAAGTTAACATGCTGGCCAGAGGAACCTCAGCTAGTGAACTAGTGGCTTCAGTGTGACACTTACATGTAAACTTGTGAAGGCGGAACTGCTCACTAGTTAACTAGAGAGGGTACAAATGTCCACTAGTTAACTAGTGAGGTGCAAAATAAGTGTCACTAGTTCACTAGTGGGCCCCAAAACTCCCACAAGTTAACTAGTAAGGTACGGATATGCTCACTAGTTAACTAGTGAGGTGCAGATTTGCTCACTAGTTAACTAGTGCGCCCTAAAGCGCCCACTAGTTAACTAGTAAGGTGCAAAAAGCATCACTAGTTAACTTGTAAAGTGCAGATATGCTCACTAGTTAACTAGTGGGCCCCAAAACACCAACAAGTTAACTAGTAGGGTGCAGATTTGCTCACTAGTTAACTAGTGAGGCGCAGATATGCTCATTAGTTTACTAGTGAGGTACGGATTTGTTTACTAGTTAACTAGTGAGGTGCGGATTTGCTCACTAGTTAACTAGTGAGGTGCAGATATGCTCGCTAGTTAACTAGTGAGGTGCGGATTTGCTCGCTAGTTAACTAGTGAGGTGCAGATATGCTCACTAGTTAACTAGTAAGGCGCAGATATTCTCACTAGTTAACTAGTGAGGTGCAGATTTGCTCACTAGTTAACTAGTGAGGTGCAGATATGCTCACTAGTTAACTAGTGAGGTGCAGATATGTTCACTAGTTAACTAGTGCGCACAAGACGCACACTAGTTGCTGTTTTTGGAGCAATCTAGTGTACTTGTTATTTAAAAATGTGTTCTTACTAGTTAACTAGTGACAAATTTACCTTCACTAGTTAACTAGTTGACATATTTGGCCTTTCTAGTTCACTTGTAATGGGACAGGACGCACTCACTAGTTAACTAGTGAGCATATCTGCATTATAATTTTTTTCTCAGTAGCTTATAGAGGGCAAACTGAGCCTTACATGTTAAGTAGTGAGCACAAAACACTGTCACTAGTTAACTAGCTGCAGAAAAATGCCCCTAAAACTAGTAAATTAGTGGAATTTGAATTAATACACACTTGGCTGGCATTCTGTGTAACATGTTAACTAGT